GGTTCCAGGTAAGCTTACAGGGTTTTACAGGGGACCCAATCCTATTGCCCAATAGGGCATTCTACATAAAAAAAATATTTAAAAGGATTAGAGTGACCCTTTAAAGGACCACTATAGGCACCCAGACCACTTCAGCTTAATGAAGTGGTCTGGGTGCCAGGTCCAGCTAGGATTAACCCTGCCTTCTGTAAACATAGCAGTTTCAGAGAAACTGCTATGTTTACCTATGGGTTAATCCAGCCTCTAGTGGCTGTCTCATGTGATTTTCGCAGTGAGAAGATGCCAGCGTCCATAGGAAAGCATTGAGAATGCTTTCCTATGGACTGGCTGAATGCGCGCGCGGCTCATGCATGCGCATTCAGCCGATGACATCAGAAGAGAGAGGAGAGTCCCCAGCACCGAGGGAGGTAAGGGATTAACCCTTACCTCCCCCTTCAGCGCTACGGGAGTGGGACCATGAGGGCGGGGGCAGTGCCAGGAAAACAAGTTTGTTTTCCTTGCATTATAGTGGTCCTTTAAGTATAATATTGAAAATTACTTTAATATGCAAAGACTTTATAAAACACTGTGCTCCCTGTACCTAGAGGGGTATCACCTACACCTTGGTGACAAGGCCCAAAGAAGACCAACCTGCTTGTCCGGGCTTCTGCATCTCTTGAACAAAGGGAACTGCTATTTTGAGTGGGATCAGTCTCATATGTAACTGGTATAGGTTCTCTCTGTAATGGCACTTTTGAGAACTGAAGGAAAACTATTAAGATTTCTCTTAACTTTATTCCATCCCATCTGATATTTTCTGCTTTTGTTTCAAAGTATTTACATACAGTAATCCAGACATCCACCATGTACTTAGTGTGCCTAGAGCTATTTCAGCTACACCTAGCTAACAATGTTTTATAAAACAACTAGAATGTTATTTAGACCTTAATGTATATAGTATATATAGAAAGCAATCGATTGCTGCAGAAATCAAACACAGTCTAGATACAAGCTGTGTTTTCAGAATTCTGCTTAAAGAAACACTTTTGTGAATAATAAAAAAAAGATTGTACTACAGACTTTTTTGCATATTTTTTTTTTTCAAAGCATGTTTATAATTTAGTACCCCTTTTCTGTGCGTCTCATGATGTGGCCTTGCTCCTTCAGGCAAGCCATCTTTAAATACTCTTTAACCAGTAGTACAGCTCCTAATCCAAGATTATGCCAGTATGAACAGTTAAACCTGGCTCAGAGTGCCTTTCGGAGAAGCGCTCAAAAGTGGCTACTAAGGGGGGGGGGAGAGGGAAGTTGGGGAGGGCGGTCCGCCCTGGTGCCACCAATTAGGGGGGTGCCCTATGCAGCATGTTGACTCCTGGGTCCCTCAACATCATGCAAGAAGACACAGGGGCAGCAAAATGCATGCCGGTGCATTGCCATGGCCACCCACGGAAACGCTCTCTCGGTTTGCGACAGGAAAAGACATGCTGCTGCTGGAGGGTGCAAGATGACTCCTGGGTCCCTGCTATAGCCACTGGACCACCAGGGAAATGTATCCCCCCTTCTTGGCCACAGATAGGAGGCAGGGAGGGGGGAAATAGTGTGATGTGTGGATGCAGTGTGAATGTAGTGTGTTTGTATTGCGTGTCTGTGTAGTGCATTTACTGTGTGTGTTTGTTGTGTGGGATAAGTACTGGGGGAGGGGGGTGCAGTTTTTTTTAATTAGTTTGGCTTATTCCCCCATATCTGCCTCTTGCCTGTGGAGGGAAGGGGGGAATAAGTCCAACTAATTAAAAATCTGCTTTTCCCAGTACTTATCCCACACAACAGACACTACATCCACTAGACAAACACACACTGTATCCACTACACACACTGTATCCACTATACAAGCACACTTCATCGGCTGCAAAAAAACGCACACTACATGCACTACACAAACATGCATACTACACACACATGCACACTACATGCACACCACTCACACTCTACATGCACTACACAAACACACACATTACACAAACCCACACTACATACACTACACAAACACACACTGCATCCACTATACAAACACACTGCATTGGCTACACAAACACGCACACTACATGCACTTCACAAACATGCACACTACACAAACACGCACACTACATGAACTACACACAGATCCTGCATCCACTACACACAGTGCATCCACTATAAAAATACACACTCTGTGTACCTGTCTGTCTGCATGTGTATCTGTGTATCTGTATGTCTGAATTTGTTTGTGTGTCAGTGTTTGTATCTGTATGTGTGTTTGCATCTGTGTATATATGTGCGACTGTGTGTCTGTGTATTTGCATATGTGTACCTGTGTGTCTGTTTGTATTTGTACATGTGTTTGTATCTCTGTATTTGTGCCAGTGTCTGTGTAGCTGCATGTGTCAGTGTTTGTGTCTGTGTAGTTGCATGTGTGTCAGTATCTGTGTGTGACCGTGTGCCTATGTATCTGCATGTGTGTACCTATGTGTCTATGTATATGCATGCGTGAGTATGTATCTGGGTGTGTGTAGCTGTGTGTCTGTCAAATTTAGGATCCGCCCCGGTCACCAAATGCTCTAGGTACGCCCCTGGCGCTCAGCATTTGAACTTTTGCAAAAAACAGCAATTCTCTTGATAATTGTTTATACATTTAATTTATTTAACACTTAAAAGGGACACTACAGGAATCAATACAACTTTAATGTATTTGCTAGATTTTAGCTTCAATAAAATTTTATTACATGCTCAAATCGCTAAATTTACTGGGATCAAGTTGGCTCCCTTTTGGGCAATTTCTTTCATTGTTGCATTCAGTGCAATTATTTTCTTCTAGTTCAGCTTTTTGAAAATATAGTGTAAATATTAAAAATATGATTCACACTAAACTGAATCACATTTTATCTAACCAATGTCATGTTTAATGCAAAATATCCCACATTTGAACATTTCTTGATGCTTGAACCTCCATCTGAAGAATGTTTAGGAGGTTGTTGAACTATATCTCTGGTTTACTCCCACACTGCCAATTTCCTTTGCTTTACAGCTGCCATTATACAGTGCAATGCTTGATCCACTGCAATGTGTAAACGTAGAAGAGACAAGTGTGGATACAGAATCCACATTTTGGAGGGGCATTCCTGGATTTTGTGTTGAATTTTAAGAAAATGGACACATACATTAGCACACACAGGTACACACACTTACACACAAAGATACAGTGACAAATATCTACATCTACACATGCACAGATTTATATGTGCTAGACTAGACGCTGCACACGTCTTGCTGATAGCACTCATTTTAAAGGAACACTCCACTGCTTGAAAAAAATAATAATCGCTGTTTAGTAGATAAACCCAAAATAAAAACATGCATGCATTTAATTATGCATTATTTTCATTTGGAGTTATATCTAAAAACAGCTTACAAAACCTGCAGTTCTCTTGTCTACTGCCTTTGCAAATCCTCCCTTACTAAACCTGGCCAGACTTTCTGTGGCTGCCCAATCACAGACTTCCCTTCTCAATTGCCCTGCTCCACTGGCATAAACCAACCAGGATATTACAGGAAAAAGTGTCTGCCTCTAAGCCAATGGGGTTGTAGCAAGGCTAAATTATAAAAGTGACAATTTATTTAGAAATTTGCACTTTTTGTAAAATTAATAAAAAGGACACACTCTTAACACATGAAGCATTTAAAGGACCACTATAGTGCCAGGAAAACATACCCGCTGCCGGGCTCTAGGGGGAGGAATGGGTTAAACTTACCTCTTTCTCCAGCGCCAGGCGGGGGACTCTGCTCCTCCTCTCCGCCTCTTCGGCTGAGTGCGCATACAGGGCAAGAGCCGCGCGCGCATTCAGCCAGTCCATAGGAAAGCATTCACAATGCTTTCCTATGGACGCTGGCGTCTTCTCACTGTGATTTTCACAGTGAGAAGCTCGGAAGCGCCTCTAGCGGCTGTCAATGAGACAGCCACTAGAGGATGGATTAACCCATAGGTAAACATCACAGTTTCTCTGAAACTGCTATGTTTACATAAAAAAGTGTTAAACTTAGCTGGACCAGGCACCCAGACCACTTCATTAAGCTGAAGTGGTATGGGTGCCTATAGTGGTCCTTTAAGCAAGCGAAAGTGTTTTAGGGTTCCAGAGTGTCTCCTTGTGGTGAGAAGTGGAGATCTCAAACTACTTAAATCGGCAATGTCATGCCGAACTAAATTTCCCCCAACAGCTTCCTCTTCTGCCCCTCTCTCAGGATCTGTTCTTCATTTCTCCCTATCTGCTCTAGTTTTCTTTAAAACGTAAGACAACATAGGGACTATTTTGTCTTATGTATTTTTCCTACGCATGACCTGCTCTGACCCAAGGGAGGAGCAAAGTCTAGCTCAATTTTCTGTGGTCAAAGCATTTTTCCCACTATCTAAGAGAGAGGAAGCAGTGTAGTGAGTTATTTTCAGGGCTCGAGTCCTGCAGGAACGCATGGGAACGGCGTTCCTGCACTTTTTCCAAAGCAGGAACGCCGTTCCCGTTACCTGTCCTGCAGGACCGGCCCTGCTACCTGCACAGAGGGGCCATCACATGCTGTGTTCCCTCTCCAGCTATAACTCTCGCGAGACCCGCGGCTGTTACCATGGCAACGCTCCGCACAGGCGAGTCTCGCGAGAGTTAGAGCTGGAGAGGGAACACTGCGTGTGATGGCTCCTCTGTGCAGCGGCTGGCTCCCTCCAGCATGCCACCGGACCACCAGGCGATCTCCCCCCTCCCTGCTTCTTACCTTCTTACCTTGTCAATAAATACAAATTATACATAAAGTAAAAAAATCCAGCACTCACTCACATACCCATCATCCAGCACTCACACACCCATCATCCAGCACTCACTCACACACCCATCATCCAGCACTCACACACACACCCATCATCCAGCACTCACTCACACACCCATCATCCAGCACTCACTCCACACACCCATCATCCAGCACTCACTCACACCCATCATCCAGCACACACACACACCCATCATCCAGCACACACACACCCATCATCCAGCACTCACACACACACACATCATCCAGCACTCACACACACATCATCCAGCACTCACACACACATCATCCAGCACTCACACAAACACCCATCATCCCGCACACACACCCATCATCCAGCACACACACACACATCATCCAGCACACACACACACATCATCCATCACTCACACACCCATCATCCAGCACACACACACAAATCATCCATCACTCACACACCCATCATCCAGCACTCACACACCCATCATCCAGCACACACACACACATCATCCAGCACCCACACACCCATCATCCAGCACTCACACACCCATCATCCAGCACACACATCATCCAGCACTCACACAAACACCCATCATCCAGCACTCACACACCCATCATCCAGCACTCACACACCCATCATCCAGCACTCACACACACATCATCCAGCACACACACACACATCATCCCACACAAACACCCATCATCCAGCACTCACACAAACACCCATCATCCAGCACTCACACAAACACCCATCATCCAGCA